TTGTTGCAGTTTATTCTCTGTTGTGTAACCCAGTGTGTGAGTTCCTATCGCAGGTGATTAGGTTTCCCTTTGTGTTTGAGGCAGCTTTACAATGATTTTAAGCTGCTGTTGAAACCCACATGATGGCTTTTACTATTCACTGGAACTGTGGTTGCACTGAGGCCAGCACTTAAACATATACCACAGAAATATACACCCATATTATTTCATCTTTGGATTCTGTCTCCAGGCAGCTACACCTGAATGCAAATAACTACTGTGCCCTGTGCTTTAATCTTCTCGCAGCTTCACATGGGTGGGGTCCGTCTCATGTGCAACCGAATGATAGAGACTTTGGACGACTTGCAAGCCTCTTTGACTTGTTTGTCTACAAAATGGGAAAGTGGTCTAGACTTTTGGACCCCACGATATATCAAAACACTATCATAGTTGCCTTTCAACCCACCGAGAGCAGCTGAGAGGAAACAAATCTTAATATCAAGTAAAATATGTAAGTCAACATTCACGGTGTGCATGTGTCAGTGTGTGTCGCCTGGTGACCCCTCAGCCCTGGTACAGCAGTGAGTTTCTGATGAGGCTGCCAGCAGTCTTATGATAGAGAGATACACAAAGACACCCAGTGTGAAGTGAACAGCGTGCACATACTCACTATTAGTCTCTCATTCATCGTGTACAGACAGGCAGAAAGCCACATAGTGCATTTACTACAAGTGGTGGATTGTAGAAATACGTAAATAGGTATATAACAGGTCACAACTACATCGTAGGTGTCCCAGTGGAGAGCAGCCAAATTGACAAAAAATAAAACTACAATGGCTCTCAGTACAGCGCATAGCTCTGCCAAGGCCCAACAGTTCCCTTAGGAAAACAGATTTAAATTCACTGGATCCAGATTTCTGATTGGATCTGCACCAAATTGCAATTGAACAGTGTTTGACATATATCAAAATACCTAGACACTACCAAAGGTGAGGATTTATCTGAATAAGTTGTTTCCGTTAAAACCATCTGTGACAGGCATGATCATCATTACTACCATCTGTCACCAGTCACCTCAACAAAAAAGAGCAGATCCAGCCAATACATTAGAGAGGATTGCATCCCTCATGGTTATAAAAATTGACATGGCCTTCATGGGAGAGTGTCCCCACCTCTGCTCAACATGGTGCCTAACCACCAACCATTTAAACACAGAGCAGACACAGACCACTACAAACCCAGTGCACAGTTGGGCACTTTCCAGTGGTTTTCAAGCACTGGGTGATGGTCCAGGGGTGGGTCACATGCAGATAAAAATAGCCCCCTTAAATCTTCTGATGAAGACTGGAAACCTAAAACTACTGACTAGATCAGGTCGCCTTCCATGGACTGTGAGATGAGCAGAAGGCTGAATTAAACACAGACGTTTATATCTTTTTCCAAATAACTGTTTTTTTTCTCAGCTTTCTAGCAGGGTGTGAAACTGAGTTGGTGAATTCAATATGAATAAATTAGCTCAGGTTATGCGTTGCTTTTTATCAAGTATCTTAAGTGCTCCAACAAGCTTGTCTGCTATTCTGTACATTGTTGAAACGGAAATGTAGGATCATTAAACTAAATGCCTTTAATAAACCATAATATTCACAGTTCATTTTATCAATGGTTTGGTCGATCAGAATTTCTCAAAGCACAAACTGACATATTCAAATTCATTGTTTGTCCAACCAAGTTATTTTGCATGATGAAAACAGACAATACTCACATTTGAGAAGCGTTATCAATTAATCAATGATCATTTATAGCTAGTAAGCAAACTTTAGCACGTACAAATTTTGTAGCTGCAACTCTCATACGCACAGACACAAACATATTCTGTTACTGCTGTTTAAGAAGCATGCTGTGACTATGGACAGAGTAATTAACAATAATTAATGTGCGTATATGCTCACTTTGGCAGCAACATGACAGACCATATAAACCATTTAACAGAAAGACATGCTTTGTTCTTTTTGCTTTGTGCACCACACACACGTCACCTCATTCTCAGGGTTTCGAGGAAAAGTAAAAGCATAGACACAGACGAGACGAGGAATATAAAAGAAAGAGAGAGAGGCAGCTACTCTTTCTTATGATCAATCAATTTAGCCACGACAGTTCACTGCTGTTCTCAGAAGCTATGTTTAGCCGCTCTCCTGCCTGGCTGGCACGCTGTCAAAGACCGACTTCATTATACATTTAATTCTCTGGAGAGTTGTACTTCTTCCACTAAAAAACATGACGTACTGCTCAATAGCCATGTGTAACAGGGTAAGAGTTGGCGCACACATCAACTCCAGCAGTAATGGATGTTGTGAATTCATTATTTGGAAAATTGGAAATCAATAATTTTTAACAGGAAAGTACAGCAAATGTCCTAATTAGAAGGATTTTAAAGCTCTGAGACAAATTTTTAGATAAATGGAGGCTATGATGTAAATTTTCTGTGGAGCTGTGCTTTATACATGACATGATTTTTCTATTGCACATGATTACTCGACATAAAAATGATGCATGGATCTGCTTTGCATCCGTGCAGGCTTAGACACAGAAATACATTGTCATACAGAGGCGCAACAAGGATGGGCAAGTGTAATTATATTTATAGATCACAATTTTAGTTTATCTTCGGGTGCAGTTGAATGGGACCAAAGTTGAACATGGAAAAAATTACACTGAAGACACTCCAAAGGGTCAAACTAGACAAGAAAACATTGAATAAAAATGCAAAAATGGGCTTTAACGCAAATACTACCTAAGACGTTGCTCCATGAAATATCCATGGTCTAATCTCGAACTAAGTGGCCGGCTGGGAGTGTTTTTGTACGTATAAAGTTTGGGTTCAAGACAAAAAGGCTATCGGCTACCCAGCCCATGAAATATTTATGACATGACCTCATGCTCTGTGACAAACAGAACAGTGAAAAGAACTGGGATGGTCATACATGCAGTCAGTAAAACTAAAAAGACATATAATGGAGCGATAGAATTATAATTTAACAATCCATAGCCTCTCTCAATACGGTATATAGTAGCTATACAATGTATTACTCAGTGGCCACAGATTAAGTGCTGGTAAATGCTGCTGCAGCTGCCAAGTTTGACAATATTTCCCACTGGTGATGATTGATGCATAAAGCCTCTTTTTTCCACTGGTCGAAAAAACCAACAAACATCTGGCTTTCATCTACAAGGGGATTGGAAACAATAGACATTCACTCCTGGGGCAAAGGACTCTCCAGGAAACATGGGGTTTTAACAGTGATGGAAACATGACACCCAAGTTAATGCGCTAATTTCGTACTCTTCTATATTTTGGCTATACGCTGATGCTCCACCTTCTCCTGCAAGACATTATGAGGTACATAGAAGTTTCGGGCATGAACATTTGTGTAGTTATGTTTTTTATATATCTTTTTCTTCTTCTTTGGATGATGCAAGGTTTAACAATGGCATGACAGTGTTGGTTTCTGGCACATTCTTGACTCACCAGGTGAAAAAAAAGAAAAGCAATCTTCTCTCTGGCGTTTCAATAGCCACGAACGTTTGTAACCCTCATCCTGAGAAAGCGATTTTTTTCTTCGTATCGTACATGATGCAACACTTGCAAGACAGCGAGGTTTCAGATGCATAGGTTCCAGACACGTTTGTGACGATGAACAAGACTCACCAAGGGTAAAAAAACAAAAGGTAAATTCCTCTACTGGCAGTGGGAAAATAGTCAAGAATCTTCTTTGGGCAGGTTTACCCATGTTTTAAAGAATACTACATATACCTGCCTATTTTTATATAAAATTGTAATTTAAACTTGAAGCACTAATCTCCTGTTTTAGTGTCATTCTAAAGCGTATCACTGTGATGAACTAGTGAATGTTGGCTGATCAATAATAAAAAAGTTAGCGTTCTCTCCTGACTGTTCAACACAACACATTAAACATTACTGAGAAGCTTGCATCTAGTCTGCACAGGCTCTTATTAAAGCACAGAGGCAGACAGCCTGGGATCAGATCAGGTCTCAGGGTCTCTGAGGTCCAACAACAGGAAATCAAATTACACTCACACATCTTTTATGAGATCATATCATGTGTTTAAGATATGATCACTGCATGTTACAACGGGTACACTCTGCAGAAAGCACTATTACTATCTTGATCTGAAAATATTTGACTAAACACATGCAGGTATAAATAGCTGACAGAATTGTTTGTGATCGTATAGAGTAACAAAATGCAACAAAGAGCTGGAAACAGAATAGTCATGTTGTTAAATAAATCAGCCTTTTACAGCAGCTACCTGCATCAGCAGTGAGATAATAGACTCACAAAGCATCTATATCAACTCAGAGCACACAGGAGTCAACACTGGCGAGAGAGCAAGACAAAGAAACCCCAAACTCCAGCCTCACTACCTTCTTGTTGAAAACACGAGCACTCCCAGCACCAGACACACACAAAGGAGCTTTTCTTTAACGTCAAGCTGCTGTGATCGTATTTTACCTCACCTTTAATTCAGTCTGTGTTGTGGAAGGTGAAAGACAACCAGAGAGGCAGACATCCTCCCGTCGACAGGCTGAGATCAGGGTTTGTTTACACCGACGTAGCGAGCTGGCTAGTCCGCTAACAGGAGCTGCCACATCCGAAACAACCCTGATAACTCCGCCACAGAGCGTGTGTGTTTTTCTCTGACAGCTTCCCACGTCCACAAATCTGCCTTTAAACATACTAAATACCGCCTCTGCGTGCGTGATAACGCCGCGCAACGAGAAAACAAAGCTGTGTTTCGTCGCTGGCTAGCAGATTACGCTTCTCTCTGTTGTTTTGACAGCCAGAATTAGCCGGATAGCAAAGCTGCTAGCTGGCAGGTTCCCTCCACGGAGACGCTAACGCTACGCGAGGGAGAAGTCCTGCGTGGATTTAACAGTGCGAAACAAGGCGGAAGAAGAAAAATAACACCCCGCGGTGACAGATGTGAGTTTTGTTATTCACCTGGAGCCGCTGTCTGGAGAGCAACGCGTCCTCCGGGTCGCGTAAGTCAGTTCGCAGACAGTTGTAGCCGCCGCCGCTCGTCTCCTCCCGGACTCTGAGAGCTCGCTGACTGTTGGTTCCACCACACTGGACCCACAGGCGTCCGAGGGAGGTAATCAGCCAATGACGCTGCTCGCATGAGCGGCGGCGGGCCAATCACATCGCTCGACGGGACAACTCAACCAATGAGCGACGACCAGGAAGAGGAAGAAGAGTCCGCGTCGTGTTTTTGTAGTTTTTTTGAACTGTGAACAAATTCAACGTGGTGAAAAATGTGGAAATCAGTGGATGTGGCTTTTTTTTTTTTTTTTAAGAGTTAAGACAAATTTGTAAAAATGTAATTAAATGATGAGTCCTGCCTCCCTCAGTTAAACTCATATGAACTGGTCTCTCAGCTGGAAGAAACCGGTTTGGCAAGAAGCCGCGATGTGGCAATTGAGCAACGTTTAAAACGCTTGGTCAACCTGTTCCCTATCATTCTGTGGCACTCAACACGTCATCCCACAGCCCATGGAGACATTCTGACCTTGCTTGTTTCACCCAACACTCTCTTACAGATATTAAAGTCATCCTTGTGTAAAATGATTACATAAAATCAATGAATAAAAAAGCTGACATCTAAGAAGCTGATAGCAACAGGTATATTCACTTTCTCGCAATCGCTTGTTAGATGTAATTATTCCAACAGTAGTGTGTATGATATCACGCAGGTTTTTCGCCTGCATATGTTTGTAAATTAGCACTATTACACATAAACTGCAGCATGGTTTACCAAGAACCTGGTTGGAAGGATGCAATACGATTCAGGAAAGAACCAATTTAATTTTGGTATGGATTTGTATCAGATTCGGACCCAGGAATTATTTTTTCACTTTTTTATAGACGTGTTTTTCAACATTTTCATCGATTTCTCATAAAATAATTCATGGATCTTGATGGAAGATTCTGGTATTTTTAGTTAATGCAACACACTTATTATTTGGTCGAAATAGTTAAATCATTAGTGAAGTTCTTAATTAATTCTTACAGCCAGATAATAAATCCTTACTTCATGTAGTCAATTGTGCTTTATAAGGTGTTGTGTAAGTGGCGTGACACTGCAGTTCCACCACTTGAGAAGGAAGTAAGCACCGTGCAGTGTGGTAGAAAAAAGTAATGATTTCATGCTGTGAATCACCCCACTGCTGGATGACCTGCTCTGTGTCCTCTGTGCCCCCCTGGCCTGGGGTGCACACATCCATGAGTGTACACTGACACAGAACACACACTCAGATACACACTCTGCTACCTCCCAATGAGCTCTGATTGCATGATTGTGCAAATGGATTTATGTCTTTGGCAGCTGGGTGCGTTACTAAACTCATCGCAGTTCAGACCACTTTCATTGGTGTGGTTAATCCGGTGCACGGAGCAACTTTCCCAACAGATATCTTTTTGTTTTCAGGAAAGGAGTGGCCAAAGAAAGAACGTTTTAAAAGAGGTGGCACTGTACATGTTGACGATCTTGCTCTAATGGCTTGAGCTGACAGATGAATGTAAAACATTGTGTGATGTTATGTGGGTACTTTGATATAACATGGCGGCTTCAACTTCTCTGGTTGATAAGAAGCGTAAATTGTGGGTGAGGTTTTACTGTTGTTTAACTGAAGGGACGTTTATTGGTTTATCTTTATCTTTATTGAGGGCAAATTAAAAAAACAACTACTATGAGGCATAACATAAAAAGGTATAATAAAGATAAAGTAAGAAGGGAACTTGATGAGATTGACCGATAGTCACCCATGACATTCCCAAAGCAAAGGGGTTAACTGTATTTTTGGTGATTTCTAATGGGGTCACATGAGACACACAAATTGAAAATCCTCTTTACATTTCCCACAATTTACTCAGCACATGGTTTTATTGACTAACTCTGTTTTTTTTTCAAGCTAATCAGGGGAACTGACTGGTTCATCTCCCTCCGCCCGACTCTGACAAAGTCCATCCTCATGGTCATTGATTTTTTTCAGTATAAGTGATGCCTCTCTAGACTTTTGTGCCAAGGACTTGGTGTACGCATGCACATTATGTGATGCGACTTCAGCCTTCTTTAGTGTTTCTCTGAAGACACAGGACAAACGGTTTAAAAGGACGGATTGGTTGGTTCTTGTAAAATGGTCTTTTCTGGGGAATTTGTCTCTGTCATCCCGCTCCCTCTTAGGAAAAGCAGATACGGAATGACTAATAGCTGGCCAGATATCAGAGAGGAAAACACGATCTATCAGCATCATAGCTTGCAATGCTTTGTCTTAAGCTTTAGATTAAAAGGTGTAGGGTTATAGAAGTGCTTTTACTCATTCCAGTATTTAGCTAATGCAAATGCCTTTTGTAGCAAATTACCTAACATGCTTCAAATTATGGCTGGTTCCACTTCCACCAGTGAGCTGACAGTGGTGGCAGCATATATTGCATTTGGCAGAGTGTCGCACTTTGTTTTGCATAACGTCGATTTCTAATTGCACCACATTCACATTTCTAATCCTGCATTTAAGTGTTTCTTTGTTGCTTTGCCTGTGTCTATGTGGGAACATGTGTGCAGGCCCCTCCTTGGGTAATGTGGCCATAATCTGTTGTTGTTGTACCAACTGGAGCAACTAAGTACGGACTCTATTCCTGCTTTATGACTGTGGTTCTTATTGAAGACTTTGCTGGAATCAATTAAAGAAATGTTAGAGTCAATCAGTGATGTTCAGTGTGTCTGTAAAACCTAATATGTGCACACATCTTCTGTGTCTTTCCTTCTGTGTTCTCTCTGAGGAAATAAACTTAATTCATGTACAATAAACACAATATCTGGTATAGTTCAGACGCACAGAGGATTGAAAACGACTTTCATTAGCATCTGCAAGTATTTAAAAATGTAAAAATCCCTATCTGTTGCAAAATACATCAATGGCCATGTTTGGCAACAATTAAATAGAATATTAAGGAAAATGTTGCAGAAATAATTTAATGTTTAATTTTTTTGTAGCTCCTTAATTAATTCCTATAATTTTCTTCCTAGTACATGAACGTTTCCATTAGCTGTCTGTTGTGTTTATAATAGTTGTTTATTAAAGACATGACAACCACTCTCCTCAAGTCACAACAGGTAGACCACACCTCACAGCAGGTGTGTGTTTTGTATTTTTGTGTGTCTTTTGTTAAATTAAGTGTTAATTCATTCAGTTGTTTTTTCTGGCAACAGTGTCAAAAAAATACTCCATTAAAAGAAGTGTGATGTTTGTCAAAATGTTTAAAATGTAATGAAGAGCCCACATGTTTCTTTGACACCTGTGACGTATAGAGCTACAGCTACAACATCCACAACAAGGCAAACCTGAATGTTGCGCACATGAATCCTAATTTGGTCACTGACGCCCAAATCTAGCACATGCACACATGCACACATATGGTGTGACAGAAGGTAAGAGCCCGTGACATAAACTGTTTAACACCCACCACACCCCCTGAGATCACCACACCTCATTCTCATCACCTCTCACACCTCACAGTTGTGTTGTTTATCACGTGTAATCTAGTGGGGACTTGCCGAATATTGTTTATGTTCAGTATCTCGTCCATTTCACGTGCAGATTTGGTGGTGCAGGTGTGATTGTGTCATATTGGATTTCTTTTAAATTAACCGTTCATGGTTGCTGCCCTGAATGCCTCAAAGTGATCGAATGATATCTTCCATACTGGATTTTATTTTCAGGTGAAGTCGTTCAACCTGATTTCATTTTCCTGTTTGCATGAACTTCTTTTCCAATGTTTTTGCCGTGAGAAATACCCACACAGCACATCATGGATCCAGCCACAACTGCTTAACCTTTGACTGAAACAACTGAATGCAATCACAATGGATATTGACCCCAAAATATATGAAAACAGCATGGTGCTGAGTTCAGTACTTTTAGCAACTTTGGCATGATTCCCATTTGATCCTGCAGCATGTGTCTGTGTTGCATTATTGATTTGTGTTTGTTTGAAGTGTATTCGGTAACTGTTGGATTTGCCAGTTGTTTGTCTGGCCCGTGTCTGTGTGTGTGTATGCATGTGTGTGTGTGTTTTTAGGTGAGTCGACTCTACACCAGCTGCAACAGCCGGGGATGTAGATAAATGCTCCAATACAAACAACGTCAGTAGGCGGCTGTCTGCCACTGTCTGCAGGGTTAATAGAACTACAGTAGTAATAGTGATGGGGGAATTGAAATTTCATCTCACATGTGCAACACTTTCAGGAGAATTATTAGATACATTAGGCTTTTACCAGGTCTCAGAGGCTTCCCGGTAAACCAGAGCTTGTGGATGAACGAGCTAATGAACACATGGTTTAAGACTTTGTGTTTGATTGGTTCTTTGAGCTTTGTGTGTGTTTGAGAGAGACATCGGAAACAAATGAATAAATCAGAAACAACAGACAATAAGTGCAACATGTGTGTGTGAGGGAAAATGAGGTTGTGTCTTCTTTGACTTGAACTAATCCAGACACACACCAGATTGCCTCTGACGTTAATGTCTTCTAGGACATAACAGGAGATCTTAGCTTTACTTTATTTGCAAACCTTTGACTATTTTATCCAGAATGTACTTTAGTCATGTCAGTTTTCTTCTTGTGCAGTTTCTAACTCCTCTTCTCCTTCAGAACAAGTTGTAGAGGAAATGATCTCATGGCTCAATGCCAGAGAACAGCGAAGAGAAAAGAGAAAGACATTTGGATGAATTACATGAGCTGTTCTTGCAGTTATGTAGAACAACTGCAAGAAGAGCAAAGCATATTTCTATGCCTACGTAGTTAGTTTGTAGTTTGTATGCAGATTAGCAGGGAGGCCAGCAGCTAGAAGATTTTGTCCCAGCATGCAGCTTAACTGCATCTCCAGAAAGTGCACATTCAAGGCTGTGAAGAGCGAGATAAGAGCAAATGTTTAAAAACCCAGTCAAAGTCGTGGGAGAGCAAATGTTTAAAAACCCAGTCAATGTCGTGGGACAGCTGCATATCACCTGACCCCTGAGCAAACAGAGGATAATCGAAATAAATATTTCTACAAAGTGCACCCTTTGGGACCCTGTAGAACCAGAAGGGAACAAATGTCTCACTAATTACATTTAAGAACTAATCATGTTGCTTTCAATGCATTTTTTTGTCCCTAACAACAGAGGAAAAGTACTAAACTGACTTCAGGCACAAAAGCTGCAGAAACAGACTGAAAGTCAGCAAAACGTCCTGATGTCAAGGGAAACTTCTCTGCCACAACAATACTGTAACAATAAGTGCTTAAAGACAAAAAAATACTGTTGAAATGATAAGAAAAAAACTACTCCGTCAGAATATTCTCATAATTGATGTTCAGTTTTGTTTGTTTGATATTCAGCAGGATTACACAAAAATGATTGGACAGTTTAAAATGAAACTTGGCAGAGGGATGTAGTGGGGGTCCGGGAAGAATCCATTAAATTTTGGTGCGGATCCAGATCAGGAGTATATCCAGAATTTATATTTTCTTATTCTTTAACATTGTGAAATAGGGTGAAATTTGGTGCAGCTTGATTGAATTTAAAGGGACCGTTGGGCCTGTTGGGCCTTGACGCAGGTATTCTGAATATCAGCATCACGGCAGCAGATGGCTGTCAGGCAGACAGGATTGGACACCATCAGGTTACACTTTCACTGGTCTAATCTCAAGCACACGCACACACACACACACACACACACACAAACACCGACACACACACACACACACACACACCGACACACACACATAAAGTATGACATGATACACAACACCATTAAAATATGACAGTAACATTAATACTAGTGTTTAAGCCATTATCGGTCGTCATATACATTGAGAGGGAAAACAAACACACACACACACACACACACACACACACACGCACACTGTCAGGTGAGGAGGATTACACAGCACTATGGGTCAGTCACGCTGCTCTGGTCAGTGATCTGATCCATTTAGTGGTGAGCATGCAGCTAAAAGTAAAGGGACTGTTTGTTAGGTCACTGTACAGACCTGCTCAACCATGACTGCAGCACCGAAGATGTTCAGCATTACACCAGTTGTTCAAAGCTGCTGAGCAAAACTGCTGCTGCTGCCGGAGCCTTTCCTCAAGGTTCAGTGAGTAAGATGTAGGTGAAAGGGATCTATTGGCAGAAAGTGACAATAGTGTGTAATTATCTAAAGTGAATGAATTGTTGTTTTCTTTACTGTAGAATGAGCCCTTTATATTTAAATACTTTATACTAACATCGGGGGGCAGGTCCTTTCTACGGAGGCTGCCATGTTTTTTACAGTAACTCAGACTGGACACCTTTTGAGTTTTTATGGCAACTGAAGGATGCCACAGGTTTTCTTTCATGCAACGTCACCACTAGAGGTCACTAAATTCTACACACTGCACCTTTAAAGAAAGAGATGAAGTCTCGCTGCACTTAAAATGCAGACATCACGGGAGAATCCAAACCAAAAAGGATGTTGGTGTAGAAATCTGGGTGATAAACGGTGTCCATGGAGCAGATGAGTGAGATCAAATGTAAATAAATACAACATACATAGATAGAACTTGATGAAATACATAATACTTTACTCTCTGTGTAAGAAAACAATACAGTATATATAAACACAATGTGATGTTGCATTAACCATGAATAAATCTGCTTTTGTCATTGATGTAATACTGATCTGAACAAGACTGATTGACGTGGATGTATAAAAAATATTGATTTAGTGTCATGTAAAATTTAATTTAAATGTAAAAGTTAAGATGAACTCCAGAGGATTATTGTTGTCTCTGATAAAAACAATCTGCACCTGAGAAACGTGTTTAAAAAGTGCACACGTAAAATGAATCTGGCTAAATTTACCATTTGTATTTGATTATTTCAGGTTCATACGTCAGTGAGGCTTCATAATAAATATGAAAACATTCAGTGGAAATATCATTCCTTCAAAATAAGAGTTTAAATGTATACCGGTATTAACAGTTATTGTAGTTTATATTGTCACATAAGTATAGTGATTCAGAGGCCCTGCCACACGGAAGACACAAAACAAATCTGGTGACATTAATTGAAAGTTTCATGGCTATAACAAGAATTATAATATAGGCCAAGAGGATATGTTTTCATTGCTGTTTGTCTATTTGTTGGCATTTTAACAAATTTAAAAATTTGCTTCAGATTTGACCTTTTTATTTCTTTTTATATATTTTCTCTCTTTCATACTTCTCCTTTTAATCTTTTTTTATTGTTTTCTTTTAATTTAGTCTCTCTGTTGTTTTTTGTAAATGTCCCTGTACAGCACCTTGAATCTACCTCTGTGAATGAAAGGTGCTTTATAAATAACATTGCCTCGACTTATGAAACCAAATATAACTTCATTCTATCCAGACAAAAATAAATGCAGAAGAAAACATAACCTCCTTTGCAGAGGTAAAAAATTACTGATTCATTTCTATAATCAGTAAAATTACGAGTGCGAGACTATAACCCATTTCATTTTTCATCTTTTTCACCCAGTCTAACTTGCTTGTGACAAATTCATTCCATTTACACTTTTCAGATTTTCAGTAACCTCTGCGACACGAAACTTGGCCCTGCTTTGTGTATGACATTACTGTAATTCTGTACTTCCTGTTCCTATTTTGCATCATTTTCCAAAACACCCTGTCGATGACAAAGACTCGTCTGTTGCTGTCGTGTTGATGGCGAACACGGTGAAAACATTGGCTGGGGTCAAACTTCTCTGAAAAAAAGAGAAACTGCACAAACACAACAAAAGCCTCATTGTCAAAGACTAGTTTATCAAAAGAATACACCGTAATACTCACGTATAAAACATAGAAAAAACAGAGAATGAAAAACAATAATAAAATATACTTTCTTTTCTCATCTACTATTCTTTAAAAAGTAATCAGTTGCAGTCCTTTCTGTTTCTCCGCGCTCACACACTCCTTTTTTCAGTCCTCTTCTGTCCTTGTTCGTGTTCTGTCCATCAAGTGTATTGTATAATAAACCAACAATATTCTTTCAGGTTACAACAACGCCGTTATAAAGAACGTTTTAACTGGAGGCAGAGCTGCTAATTCGACACCACAGGGCTTTTTGTTGACTTAATAAGTTGCATAACGGTGTGAGATGAAGAGGCTCCTCTCGCGGCCTCTCAGTGCGGTACATTAAGGCCGGTACAGCACATTAGTCTCACTAATGGAGGTCTGCGCTAGCCTCGCTGTCAGAAGGTCACGGAGCCGGACCGGCGGCGTGTGAGCTGCTTGTTTAAGCGGCCGCCTTGTAAAGATGGCAGCGGCCTCCTTAACCTGCTCCGGCTCACTTGATGGGATTCGCTCTTGTGACGAGCAGCTGACAGATGGAGAGCGTGCACTGTACGTTATTGGTCCAGTTTGATGAACTGCTTTCTTGTCCCTCTTTTAAATTCATTTGTCTTTTCCCTCTTTTCTTTATTCCCTCCATTTCCACGTTTGTTCCCCCGCCTGCCAATAAGCGACTCCTCTTGTTTTCTCCCTTCTGTCCCACTCACTCTGGATTTTTCTGCATTCCCGAACAGGTGAGTCTGGCAACGTCAGCACAACTCACGTCATGCGTGTGTGTGGATTTCTCTTGTGGGGTCAAAGGTCAAAAAGGTTGTAGAAGCGCGCACAGGGAGGGGACACCACTGTCAGCACTATAATGGTTCAACACCCAAACATGTGAAGTGAGTTTTACGGATCCAAACAGTGTCTCGGGGTCACTCAAGTCTTTTTTTAAATAACAAACATTTGTGTATATTTATTTATTATTTAGTCATATATTTATTTATCATTTCCTCAACGACTCGTTAGTCTAGTTATATGTGTCCCTTCTTTTTTTAAGGGTCCAGTTGTTCCACCTGCAAGTCCATCAGTCCTTCACTAATCATTCTTTTTCTTTGTCTCCCCTTTCCTTCCCTCCATCCTTCAGGGTTGTGATCAGGATGTAGTGATGACAGGAGTGATGGAAAAACAAGAAACTCAGAGAGCCGTTGCGAAAAGCGTGGAAGACGTTCAGTTCATCCTCTTCGATCCATCTCTCATTCGGCTGTTCATACACACACACACACACACACAAAAACATGACCTCACAGCAGATTCTACAACTGCATGTGAAAAAGTGTTTTCTCATCGGAGGCAAGAAGGAAATAAAAAGATAAGAGCAGCTTTGTCAGATAATGGAACTTATAGTCTCGACTCATCCGAAACAAAACCCTGAAAAATCACCCTCCTGAATCCGTCACCCTCCATCATCCCACCACTGTTCCCCCCCTCCTCCTTTTCCACCCCCATCCGTCCGTCCGCTGTCCCTCACGTGCGCTATTTACACACAAACTGGTCCACGAGCGTCGTGCAGCGCTTGCACTTGACATAGCAGCACCAGTGGAACTTGCAGTGGCAGCGCTCGTGCTTGTAGGTCTTGAACTGGTCGTACCCTCGGCCGCAGCACATCAGCTCGCAGCCGTCCATGCCCTCCGAGGTTTTGTTGCAGAGGCGGCCCTGGGTGCCGAGGGAGCCTGTGGTCTCGTTGCGGAGGCAGTAGTCCGGGCTTGGGTCGATGTAGACCAGGTCCTCGGGGGTCGGGGTGTTGAAGCGTTTGTCGACCTGCTCCAGTTTTCCCTGGATGAGATAAAGAAAAAGATGGATTTTGTGAGATTTCAGATTTTTCTGGTCACCATGGAGGGAGAGGTTCATCAGCTATGAATTCATTACCTTGCGTCCGATGCGCATGGCGGCAGCACTGTCGTACTTCTCCTTCAGAAACTCCCCGACCCGTCTGAAGTCGGCCAATTGGAGCCAACAAGTCTTCAGGCTGCAGGAGCCCGAGACTCCGTGACACTTACACGCCACATTAGCGAGGTTATAGACGGCCTGGTGGACCGAGAGACAGAGATGTTTTCACTCACAGTTCATTTCTTTACAATATCTTATCTAAACAAGGTCGACAGAAAGGAAATATATGTATTTTTTCCATCCGTCCAGTATCTGTGGTTATCCTTTGATGGTAACTATGTATATACTGAGATTTTACTCCATAAGAAAAGTTTTCCATGGCATAATCATATCATAAGAATGATCAAATTCAACATCCAGGACACTTTAATGTAACAGTAAACTTTTTTTTGCAGCCTTCCTTGAAAATCAAATAATTTGTCTGGCATAGAACAGTTTCATATTTAATATAAAACTTGCTGCAGCTGATTCTTCCCATTGAACAAAGAGCAAAATCAACTTGATAATTATAATATAAATATAAAACTGTAATTATAGGTCAGAAAACACAATCTGCTGGTTAGGTCACATATTATCTAATGTTGAGTTACATGTTTTCCATGTCATTTTATCTTGTCCTGTCCTTGGACACTGAGTGAGACGCTGGGAATTAGATGTTTGCGTGTTTTACTTCTCACATAAGAAGTAAAAGTAGTAACTCAGCAGAAATACACAGGATCTGTATTTCCACTCTGCACTGAGGCCTGCACATCTGTTTCCTGCTATGCTGCTGCCATCTAGTGGTGAACACGTGTCAGTACTCCCTCTCATCTACAGTAGTTGAAGAAACCATGTGCTCAGCAAACTGAACCAAGAGAAAAGAACAAGGTAAATCCATGATTGTTGAATTTATACAGTTTTAGTTGATGCACTCTTTACTCTGGGTCATTTCACACGGTCACACAGATGTTTCCTTTACACACAATAGGAAAAATGTCTGATATCTTTTTTTAACACTGACTATATTACAGACAATTAATTTTTAGCTATGACATACTACATTAACATATTGGACCCAATACGGATGGATGGATGGATGGACGGATGGACAGATGGACGGATAGATAGATAGATA